TCTGTCTCTGGTGAAGCCTCTCACCGCCCCTGAGCCTCTGGCCTGTACCCCAGTTCTGTATGTACAAATAAATAAATCTTTAAAAAAAAAAATCTTTTCCTACTGAGGTGAAATTAATGTGAAACAAAATTAACCATCTTATGTATTAAAGACTTGGGTATATGATCTGAAACCATAAAGTACAAAGAAGAAAACACAGGCCAAACAATGCACAACACTGGCTTCGTAGTACTTTGGAAAACTAGAGCACAATGGTAAGGAAAACGAAAGACTAGACTGAATCTCCAGCTGCGTCTTGCTCATCACAGTGCCTGGCTCACTGCATGCGTATGTGGAACATTTTCTCAGTGAGTATCTGCCATTCTGTATGTTATTTTTCACTTTGTTAGATTTCTTGATGACGTGGCTTGTTAAGCAAACCTGAATCTGGGTGTATTCGGAACTCCATCCTGTTGTGTTATTCACACATCTGATATGTAGTGACTTTCCCAAGTTGCTGATAAGGTAGAAAATTATAGGGCTGAAGATAAGTCCTCAGAGGAACCTAATCCCACCCCCATTCCTGCCCCTGCATATTGATATCACTGCATGAATCCAGCAGTCTGCAACTCTAACTCTAACTCTAGCTTCCATTTCCCATCTTGTCAAAAAGCTTTTATGAGAATATCCACTCTGCAGCCTGTCCTACCTGGCACCACCTCTACCCAAGCAGAACTAACCTAACCATTACTCTTCCAACTCTCTCCCAACTGTCCCTTTTCTCATGTCTCCAAACTGGATTACTTTTATTTGTTCACAAGTGTGTCTCTACCACAAGTCCAAGTTCTGGGAGGGTAGAGACTTACGCAACTTTGAATCCAGAGAGTCTAGCAAAATTTAGGTACTCCAAAAGAAATGACTGCACACATCGTGTAATTCTGACATGCTAAATTTAGGGCATTTTCTGGTTCTGCTGTCATAGTTTTCCCATACAGAATCTAAAAATCCTTTAAATACTCTTACCTGTAGCAGAAAGGAAACAGCATAACTCAGTAGAGCAGGATGATGGACTAAATTCAAACTGCTTTTATACTCTGCTACTCCAGCTTTTTCTAAGATTTTGGAGTCAATACATATTCCTTTGTGAAAGGGTCTGGATGTCCATAGGCAACCCACCATAGCTGTCAGATAGTGATTAAATTCTTGATAGGTCTTGCTGCTGAAATTGAACTCTGATTTTGTCTATTAGGAAAAAAAAAAAGTCATTATTACCTATTCATTCCCAACATGTCATCCATATCACTACTCAATTTTTTGAAAAAGTGATATAACATAGTTTTATCATCCGCACCTTTGGCACCAACTCATTTTTCTTTGCAGCAGTCAAATTTTTACGATACCTAAATGGGAGAACAAACAGAATCAAACTTTTAACTATAAATGCTTTTTAAATGTAAACATAAACAAAATGTATATATTTTAAATGTAAGTATATGCAGATGTGTATATATACACAAACATCCAGCTGTCTAAGGATTTTATCCTTTCATGGTGTATTGTCCTCAAAGAATAAAAATTAATAAAGGCTCAAATCTGAGTTATTCATTTAAGATATGCACTTGACTACAAGTAAATTATACTTCAATAAAAAAAGCAATAAAGGAAATGCTTTTAATGTTTCAATATTAAAAATTTAACAGTGTCTCAAAAGCAGTCAGTCACTGGTACAATGCCTATTTTCCTAATGTGGAAAAAAGTTGCCGTACAAAGGAGAAAGAAAAATTTTATAAATATATTTTTTTCTTATCTAAGGACTATTATCTAATTTGTTTTGCTGTAGTCCTACAAGTTATGACAAAGGAGTTTATATTTGGGCCTCCCTGGTGGCAAAGGGGTTATAAAATTGGAGCGCTATCAAGATACGGCCAGCCACTGCAGCATGAGTTCGATATCCAGCCACGGGTGACCCCACATGGTTCAGCAGACTTCTGTTTCAACTGCTGCTCCCCTCAGCAGTGTATTTCCATAGATTCACCTGTTATGTTCCCTACTTTGTGTCTAATGAATCCTCTCACCCCCACAAGCCTCCAACCTACACCCCAGTTTTTGTATGCATTAAAAAATAAGAAGTTTGTATCTTATGGACTGAAAATAGTAACTTTGGTCCACAAGTGAAAGAATTAGAGGGGATCAAAAATCGTATTTACAGCTTCATATAACTGGCAATAGCCTCCATTAACTCCCAGAAAATGTTTGGCTTTTATCGGAGAAGTTACATAGACCTAAGCCAGTTGTTAGCAAATGGGTATCTTTTCTTTAAGACACAGCAGTGAGAATTAACAATGCTGAGGTATGCTATTGCTATTGCACAGAATATCCTTAACCATGAACTTTTTAAAATCCATGTTCTTCAAAGTGACTTATTAAAAATAAGTCAAAATAGTCCCTCCCTGGTGGTGCAGCGGGTTAAAGCACAGCACTGAGAAGCTAAAGCCACTTCCGCATGAGTTCGATTCCTGCCTGCCCCGGAGGAGACCACATGGCGTGGCAGACCTCTCCTGACCCGCCCGCTGCTCCCCTCAGCAGTGTACTTCTTCCATCTGCCTGTTCTGCTCCCCACTCTGTCTCTGATGAAGCCTCTCGCTGCCCCTGCACCTCTGGCCTGTACCCCAGTACTGTATGCATAAATAAATAAATCTTTAAAAAAAAATAAGTCAAAATAGTCCATTATTAGAAAGTCATTCCCAAAGGAAAGTCTTATTTCCTGTTTCCATAAGCCCTGCAGAAAAAAATTATTTTATTGTAGTTCAAATGAAGACAAACTTATGAAGCACTAATTCATAAGAAAGTAAAAGTGTACCTGTGCATAATATAACAGAGTTGGTTCAGGATACTAGGATCCATGCTGAGAAGTGCAGGATAGAAGATCCCAGGAGGAAACAACACCACTAACGGAAGGTTATAATTTACATATATGTCACACACCTTTTGGGAAGAGTGATAATATCAGTATATAAATTATACCCAGAACCCTTCATCCATATTCACCCAAAGAATCATCAATTAGGTGTGGACATGCCTGATTCATAATAGAACAGGCAACCACAAGCCTGCTAAAATACACTTCACCAAACATCAACCTTACTACAGAGGATTATTTTTAGAAGACCATTATTCAAATCTTTCATATTTTTCTGGGGAGAGATCTTACAGATGGGGAGATAGCGATTTTGTGACTCACTTAAGTATATGGATTTTCTTCATATTAGAGTTGTCAACATCGAAAGCGACAGAAAATGCTCCTAAGCAAGTATATCATAAGGAAAGTGGTACTACTAAAGGGAGGAAACCAGGAAAGCTGAGATTGGTGGCACTCCCGGATACTAGTTCTATAAACTAGAAAACACTAGAAAACAAAAGAATTAGAATCATAGGTACTGGGAGAAATAAGGCATTTGAAAAGTGGGAGTTCAAAGCTGCGGAAATGAGGCATTTCTAGATCTTTCTTTGCGAGGGATGAGCATTTTGCAGGGGAATGGCTATGAAAGCAGCACCTAGACCAGACCAGAAAGAGTATTTGTTTGATGAAAGCTAACGCTCTATTTCTGAAAGTCAGTCATTCAGGAGAAAATACAATCCTTAGTTTCAAAATGTGTGGCTTATTTTAATTATGATAATAAGGGCATAGTTCGACTTAGTGATTTTATAAAAAATTAAATCATAAACCAGTAATATGGCTTCACTAAAAGCTATGTAGCCACTACTAAAAGCCAAGTAGGGAAATGGGATGTATACTACCTTCTCATAGAAATCCAAAATAAAGTGCAGCAAGAAAGTACTGTTGTTTTCCAAGCGCATTGCAATCGTGGACAGCCACCCCACATAGTGAATCAGTTCAGACACAGAGTTCATTGAGCCACCTAAAGTTGTTTCTCTGTAATAAGAAACCATGATGTTTAAACCCATATTTACAAAGTCTTCACAATTTCCAAGCTATAGCTGGATAATATGTAGGAAAATACTGTTAGGAATTTCAGAAAACTATCAGTGCTCCAACCTGTAAGTCACTCATTAAAACAACAATGTTTAATCATAAAATCACACTTAGCTCTCTGGGGAACCATTAGTTCAATTCACAGAACATCCCCAGCAAACGGACTCTACTAGTAAATACCAGAGAAACAAAGGATTAAGTTCCAGACAGGCTTAAGATTTTGCCAATGTCCAGAGATCAAAGCAGTCAGCTAGTAAGTTTCTACTGGATAAACACTGAACTCTAACACTCCTCAATTATGGGAATCCTGTATGAAAGACAATTTTTAAAAACACTAGAAAACATTTATTCCATTAACAAGTAAGGGCAACAAAGAGTTTGTGACAAGTGACATGAAAAGTTCAGAAAAAAAATCGGAAAATGGACAAAATGACAGTATAAACCAGAAAAATAGAGAATTCAATTATCCCAAACAATTCACAAAGTAGCTTAAAGGATAAAAACTAAAATGACTTTGGGAATTGTTTCCTGATCAAGATAGTCAGGAGTAATGGACAAGGATGAGGGACAGTATGTAGTCTTTAAGCTCGAGGGATGACGGTGACTATGATGGTTCAGTGCGAGGGCAGGCAGGGAAGCATCAGACCCTTCAATAGGTGGGCATCTGTATGGAAGGCCAGCAAGTTCAAAACTCTATCTCTTTTTTTAAAAGATTTATTTATTTGTGCATACAGAACTGGGGTACAGGCCAGAGGCTCAGAGGCAGTGAGAGGCTTCACCAGAGACAGAGACAGAACAGGCAGACTGACGAAGTACACTGCTGAGGGGAGCAGCAGGCGGGCCAGGAGAGGTCTGCCACACCATGTGGTCACCTCTGGGGCAGGCAGGAATCGAACTCATGCGGAAGCGGCTTTAGATTCTCAGTGCTGTGCTTTAACCCGCTGCGCCACCAGGAAGGGCCTCAAAACTGTATCTTAACATGCATTTTGGCAGCACCTGGCAAATGCATGCAAAATATTTTGAAATAATGTGATTGCTCAGAAGCCTCCTTTGAAGTATTTCTCCACAGGATTCTGCTAGCACTGTGGATGAAACAATTTGCTGCTCAGGAATGCCTCCCCCTCACCCTTTCACTGCAGCACATGTGGTACTCCTGGCTCCTACCTACTAAATGTTGGTAATACACTCTGCCCAGTCACCATGCAATCAAAAGTGTCCCACCACTGAGCATGGTTTCCAGCCCTTCTCTCTGTGTGATCGCTAGCTATCTACAATTTACTCACTCCTTGACAGTGAGAGGGCATATGACCATATGATGGAGACATGGCATTACACTCACATTTCCAAACAGAAGGAATTAGTGGAACTTAAGAACTGTATTCTCTAATGCCATTACTGTACAATGCCAAGTAGTATTATGAGAAGCATTTTCCTACAGTACCACAGCCGTTTAAGGCAATGCTCTCCCCAAAATTTACGACACTAATAAAAAAAGGAGTCTAGGATTTGGGGAAAGAAAATATAGAAATTATAAGGTACCTATGTCAAGAGTGTCTAAGACACTGCAAGTTGGCTGACCATTATACTATGTTCTGTAAAGATACTATTATTAATAGAATTGAGGTGAAAGAGGTTAAGCACTTAAATGGAATTTCTTTATAACAGTGGTTCTCAAACTTTAGTTTGAACCAAAAATTATGGAAGCATTTGTTAAAACAGATTACTGCCTCCCTCCACCCCCCGAGCTTACTTCAATAGTTCTAGGGAAGGGCATGAGAATTTGCATTGGCTACAAGTTCCCAGGCAACGCTAATGCTGCTGGTCCAGGACTAGCACAGCTTTGTAAGATGCTTCATGTCCTTCTAAATGTGATCAAACATACATGATACATGAAAGCATTGCAATAATGAATATGAAAAATTAAAACAACCTTCCAGGCTACTCTTCAAAGCCTTCTATGTTCCATCCTCCCCTATCAAAGTAGGAGATCATTATAGGGATAAGGATATAGAGAAAAAGAGGTCTGAGTTGATCTTATAACCAAACCACCAGCTGTGTGCAACAGAAGCTAAGGGATACTCACACTTAGAAAGTATGAATGTGATTGATAATAATACTGATTAAATATAACTGGAGTTTTAAGAACTATTCATTTTTTTAGGTGTTATGCTGGTATTGTGTTTAACAGGTGAAATGATGCCTGGATTTTACTTAAAAATAAACTAGCACATGCTTTATTTAAAATTGGAAAAACATGGAAGCAGCCCAAATGCCCAAAAGTAGATGACTGGATTAAAAAGATGTGGTGCATATATACAATGGAATATTACTCAGCGACCAAAAAAGAGAAACACATGTCTTTTGCAGCAACTTGGATGGAACTAGAAAAGATCATGCTTAGCGAGATATGGCAGAAAGAGAAAGAAAACTACCGGATGGTTTCACTCATAGCAGGAGTATAATGGACCAGGTGAGAAAATAACAAGAATAATGAACAACCATATACCAGAGACATTTTGCAGGGGTGGAGTGGGGAATGGGATCAAAAACAGGGGGGGTGAGGAGGGAAGTACATGGGATTATGGTGATGGCACACGGGTGACTTGGTGATGGGAAACCCGTGGGGACTACAATTGAGATGGAAAAAAATGTAAAAATAAGGAAAGTAAGGAATGCTATAGACTAAAAAAAAGATAAACGTGAGTTGATAACTGGTGAAGTTGGATGATGAGCTCATTGCAGTAAACTCCCCCATTATTTTCTCTACTTTTGATTATGTTTTCAAGTTTCTATGTCACAGAGCAAATAACATGACAGATAGTAGAATATAAAAGAAGCCAGGCCCTCCCTGGTGGCGCAGCGGGTTAAAGCACAGCACTGAGAAGCTAAAGCCACTTCCGCCTGAGCTCGATTCCCGCCTGCCCCGGAGGTGACCACATGGCTGGCAGACCTCTCCTGACCCGCCCGCTGCTCCCCTCAGCAGTGTACTTCGTCGATCTGCCTGTTCTGCTCCCTGCTCTGTCTCTGGTGAAGCCCCTCCGCCCCTGAGCCTATGGCCTGTACCCCAGTTCTGTATGCATAAATACATAAATCTTAAAAAAAAAAAAAGAAGCCAAAGATTGAAGTAGAAAGAGTCAAAACAACCCAATTAGGCAATTCCTTGAAATTCAGTCTTTTACTTTCACTTTGAGAGTAAATCACACATTTAACAGTAATGTGAACATGATGAAAATAGTTTTTAATCGAAAGAGAAATAAATTAATGTATATAGCCAAGAAACATCAGAGAAACTTAATAAAACTACAGTAAAATTACAAACTTATGTAGTCAACATCAGAATTGATTTCATATATAAGAATACATTTTATAAAGTGAGCTGAACTAAATGTAAGCCATAGCTGCAAGTTCTAATATCATTTTTCCAATGTTTTGCTATATTTAACACTTGCATGTCACTAACAGACTCAAGGGTTGTTTTCTGATTTATAAAATAGAACTTTATGAAATAACCCCCTTCAGCCCTCCCTGGTGGAGCAAGCCTCCCTGGCTTGCAACACTGCAAGCTAGCTGTAGCCACTTCAGTGCATGTACCATCCCCAGCCAGGGAGGTGACCACATGGCGCAGCAGACCTCTCCTGTCTCACCTGCGGCTCCTCTCAGCAGTGCACTTCGTCTATCTGCCTGTTCTGCTCCCCACTCTGTCTCTGGTGAATCCTCTCACTGCCCCTGCACATCTGGCCTGTACCCCAGTTCTATATGCATAAATAAATAAATCTTAAAAAAGAAAGAAAGAAAGAACCCTGTTCACAAAAACTGTGGGGAAGAAAAGTGAAAAGTAACAAGAAAATCTTTCCAGAAAAGTATACATGTAAGATTTACAAATAACGATTAACTCTCACACCACACTATTGAACTCGACATGCAGACATTTTTGTATAGGATTAGAAGATAACTCACAAGGGACTGTTCATTATTGGTTTCATGTGGGTGTCCATAGAAAGCCACAACAACCAATTCTGCAGTAGCTCTTTCAGACTCTGAAGAACACTACACTAAGGGAGAAAGAACAAAAAATTATTTGTAATATCATTCAGCCTATCATAGTGTTGAAAGCTGACAGACGAAGCCAGAGGCTTAGAGGTGGAAGGGGCCTTGGAAATGACCTCGGGTTCCAATTCAAAACTGAATAGCTGGTGCTCCAATCTCACCAGTCTCCAAGAGACAGATGAATTCAAGTACAAGTTTATTTCGCCATTTTCTCTATAAGAAATACACCTCTACATGACTGCCTCCAGCTTATCATCTAGGAAAAGACTCTTGTTGCTCTAAATTAGGTTCATTTACAACATATATTACATCATCAACTACAGTGTCACCCTCACGATATCTCCCCCCATGAAACTGTTAGATAAAAGTGTTTCCACCCTTTTTACCTTGTGTCTACAACTACAATTTACTCCTTTTATTCATGGTCATAAAATTTATCTTATCTTCTGTGACTGTGGAAAAACTCTAGCCTTTCTCAGAACTATAGTTTTCATGGTCACATTAGCACACAAAAATAGTCTTGACAAAAGTGTGCCCAGAACATTTATGAGGATAAGTCATATCTAATAATTTGAAAGCAATCCATGTGATGCCAAAACCTAATATAGAAAAGCTTTCTTACACATCCTTTATAAATAATGGCCTAGATACAATTTGAGTGCTTCCATTGATAAGGTTCTTACTGCTACTTCATAGAACAGTTCAATTAATGTTTTAGAAATTCAAACTTTGTGCATCTGGATTTTACATATGTTCGAGTTGACAGTAATTTTGGAATCATCAAACAATTCTCTACTTTGATATCATTTGGGGAATTAAACATTTGAAAAGATAGTCATTATTATGTCATATCTTGAAAGCAAAAATCCTTAATCACCCATCCACCTACTCTACCCACACCCTGTCCTCATATTTAGAGAAGGAATGAAATTTTTGTTTATGAGAAGGGAAGATGGGTTTTAGAAAAGGTTGAAAAATACAGCTCTATCATACAAGAGAACTTTTCCACATAAATACCCCCAGTAGACAGTTACTAAACCTACATCTAGCTGACTGCTGCTGGGAAAGGCACTCCCTTTTGGGTCCTTTATCCCATTGGAGTTACTCTACCTGTAACTAGGATATTGCCCTATATCTAATCCTGCCTCCTGCAGCCACAGAGATCTGTTCTTTCCATGGCATATACGAACAGAATATAAGCTTCTTCTTTGAGAAGGTAACTATAAAATCAATAATGAATTCCCTTTAAGAAGGGAATCAACTTTAATTAAAGATATTATAAAGAGGCCCTCCCTGGTGGCGCAGTGGGTTAAAGCACAGCACTGAGAATCTAAAGCCACTTCCGCATGAGTTCGATTCCCGCCTGCCCCGGAGGTGACCACATGGCGCGGCAGACCTCTCCTGACCCGCCCGCTGCTCCTCTCAGCAGTGTACTTCGTTGATCTGCCTGTTCTGGTCCCCACTCTGTCCCTGGTGAATTCTCTCACCCTCCGCATCTCTAGTCTGTACCCCAGTTTTGTATGAATAAATAAATCTTTAAAAAAAAAGATATTATAAAGAAATCAGATGGAGCTTCTATTTAATCAAGTGCCAGAGAAAAATTGCCTTGTTTTAAAATATTACAAAATACTTTAAGTCACAAAATCTCATTAGTTAAATTACTATTAACATTTGCTGAATTTTCTTGTAAGATCAAAGAGCCCATTTCCGTTTACATTTTGCTAGTTAGTTTTTCTCATGAATTTGTCTTTCTTGGTTTTCTGAACACAACACAAAAGCTACTTATCTTCAACACGATTTCCAAACCATTACTCCTCCCTCCTTGTGTAAAATATCCCTTTCTCCTTTGATGTTCACACTCTCCAACTACATTATCCTTCCTTTTGTCTTTCCTCATCTCTGCTATTTACCTCCTTGAAAACCACTTTTACCGAGGACCTTGCCACACTGTCATCAACCCTTGGTTTTTCGTGTCCAAGTAGATGATCCACCCAACACTTCAACTTTAGTTTCTTGCTCTCAAATAAAATATCCATCTTCACTCTACCTCAGTTCCCATTCTCACAGCCACATACTAGACTCTGCCTTAACTTGAAATGAACCAGCCCCCAAATCTATTTTCCTTTCTTTGTTAAGACTTCCCATTCTTCCACTACACGTCTTCAACTACAACTAGTTATTCTTGCTCCTGAGCTTCAGAGATAGTTGAATAATTTCTTGATTCTTTCTTTTCGAACTTCAATTTGCAGGACTTCTCGTGGTCTTGCTGTCCAATCTAGTCTACTGCCAATCGTGCACAACTCCCTTGCTTTCTATTCAACCGTGAAAACCCTGACTGACTCAGTCTCAGAGCTCACTTTCTGTGTTCCTTCATCTCAACTGAAAACACACACACACAAATATACCAGCTGGTACCACTCTAAATTTTTTTAAAATAAGATTTATTTACTTGTGCATACAGAACTGCGGTACAGGCCAGAGGCTCAGGGGCAGTGAGAGGCTTCACCAGAGACAGAGCGGGGAGCAGAACAGGCAGATCAACGAAGCACACTGCTGAGGGGAGCAGCAGGCGGGTCAGGAGAGGTCTGCCACGCCATGTGGTCACCTCCGGGGCAGGCGGGAATCAAACTCATGCGGAAGCGGCTTTAGATTCTCAGTGCTGTGCCTTAACCAGCTGCGCCACCAGGGAGGGCCAGGTACCACTCTAAATTTATGGTTTCCCACTGCTTCCAGGTCCTTCATGAAGCTCAGTCATCCTTTTACTTGTTTTTCATCAGCTAGCTGTGTTGCCCTCTCCACCCCTCTCTACTGTAATCCCTCATTTTCTTCCTTCACTCCTCCCCCATTTCCTCAGTGGTTGTCAAAGTCCCCTACCCAATTCTATCTTCTACAACATGCTTCCTCTTCTGAGGAATTAAACATTTTTAGGCATGAGGTAGTTCCATTTCTTGCCCTTTCTTCCAACTCTACAAATATCTACATATCAACCAATCTATAACCATCTTTGCAGTCACAGAGGTAAGTGGTGCCTCCCACATCCATTCTTCTATCTGATCTTAAGCCAATACTTTCATATTTTTTTCTGAAACATCAATTATCCCCCACCTTACCTTCATTCTAACCTCCTCTTCTTCTCAACCAGTTCCTTCCATTCTGTCCCCCCACCCCCAAAATACAACCTTCCCTTGGTTCAATGTCCCACTATACTTATTTCTCTACCACTTCTTTTTAGACTAACTTTTGGAGATATAGGTCTATATTCATTGTCTTATCTCATTTCTCATTAACTCCTTAATTTCCACAACTGGCTTCTACCTTGATACTCCAATGAAACTATTCATAAAATAAAGGTAGGCAAAAACCTCTATTTTATCAATTGCAAAAGAAATTTTTTCCTTATCTTTCTGGAGCTTCATGAGATTTCTGATAACATTATTCCTTTACTCCTTCTTGATATGCTGCATTTTCTGTTTCCTTGGCAGTATTCTCCTGGTTCTTTCTAGACCTATTAAAAATTTTCTCTTGTAGACTCTCCTGCTTTTCAGCTGAGTATTAAATACTGAGTATTCCACTAAGTCCTGTCCATGGTCCACTGTCTGTTTTCCTTTTGCTCTCCCTTTCCCTTCCAATCCCCCAATCTCAAGTATAAACATATGTGTGTCTATATAAATACATATATTCATATTACACTGGACTATGTAAAAATTGCCAATTTTTAAGCATCTATGCATGGGCTGTGATTTGAGTACTGCAGTACTTCAAAGCCTAGGTTCAAGAGCCTGCTGTTAGAAAATCACCATTGTAACATGACTTTGGGATCCTGTGCCACTGATCACAGACTACTGAATCCAAGCATAACAGTTGTTTTTATATTTACCTTGAAATAAATGGTGGATGTAAAAAACAGCTGTGCTAGGTGGTCAAAGAGAAGTGGTTTCACCTCTAGAAATTAAGAAAAAAAGATTAGTCAAAATCTATTTAATTAATATTTCATTGCATTAAATGGCTCCAAATTTTCATGATACTTACCAGAGAAGCTACTAAAAGGAGTCCAGCTCACAAGTTGAAGTAACTGTGACCGACAACAGAAGCCATCCCAGAGAGGAAGGCTCTTATACAGGAAAGCTTCACAGGAATAAAATCCCTCCTGTAAGACAATTCAATAGCAAAACTTTATAGGAAATCTTCAATCATGATTCCTCTCTAAAATAGTTAACTTTATGCTATGATTACTTTACTGGTTTTTTTTAAAATAAAAAGATTTATTTATGCATACAGAACTGGGGTACAGGCCAGAGGGGTGCAGGGGTGAGAGGATTCACCAGAGTCAGAGTGGGGAGCAGAACAGGCAGATTAATGAAGTACACTGCTGAGGGGAGCAGCGGGCAGACAGGAGAGGCCTGCTGAGTCATGTAGGTCACTCCCTGGCCAGGGATCAAACTCGCACTGAAGCAGCTGCAGCCAGTTTCACAGCACTGCGCTCTAACCCGTTGTCCTACCAGGGAGGCTCTATGATTGCTTTACTATTAAGCTAGTTTTTTATCATCAACATAATAAAAACTTTGATGTTAGGTGCCAGACTTCCTCATAAAAAAAATCAGCTGAGTAGTAGTTGGGTAGAATACAACCTTTATCAATATAGTTTGTAATATCATAAAACTTGGAAAGATGGTAAAAAATTAGGCTATGGAATACTTTTATAAGATAAATGACAACTGCATTATGCTGGAGTATGAGCAGTTAACAAAATGTATGGAACACTAAATGATAACTCTGGAATATCATTAGATGCCAAAACTAAATCCAAACTATGGGCAGCTCCACCTGGAGAGGGCTGAGCGTCTAGGCTGTTTAGATTTCCATCAAAGTCAGGATCCAGGCCATTCTGCTTCCGCTTTGTTGCCTTGGGCCATAAATAGTGGAGTACACCAGAACTCCATTCTGGACTTTTTTATGACCATAGATTCTCTGGAGAATCTCACCCAGAACCTAACTAAAACTGCCACCCATTATCATGAGGGACACTAAATGTGCATCTCTACCCAAGATCTCATTGCTAAGCTCTGGACTCATCATCTAGCTAGATACTAGATATGGCCACACAGATGTCCCACAGGCATCTTCTGAATCAAATTTATCTTTCTTTTATACCTGCTCCTCCTATACTCCCTTTTCTACTGAGCGCCATCATCATCCTCTGGTGCAGGAATCTAAAAGTCAACCTAAATTTGCCCATGTAGCCTCACCACCATCATCCAAAACCAATTTCCAATCAATGTTTTCACACCAAAGCCTTAAGGTTTGTCAAACATCTATTGAACGTGCCTTCTACACCAGGTGCCAAGCCGTTCACCTGGACATGAACAAAGTTGGACAGGGTTCCTGCCCAGTGGGAGCTCACAATGTATGGAAAGTGGATACTGAAAATGCCCTGGCTTCTTAAGGGCTCTCCCATCTGAGTACAACACGGGGTTAACTAGGTCAAGTCTTTAATGGGCTGGAAGATACTCTACATTCAAAATAAGGCTTGTTGATTATAAAGACATAAGTAGTGAACCTATGAGTTTTATTTTACTGGCTTTCAATTAATTAAAGATATTCAATTACATTATCAATTTACTCTCTTAAATTACAGGCCTGTCCTTTTTCTTTGCATCATTATTTCTTCATTTCCAACAATACAAAGGTAAACATCAACTCAGGTCAATTTATAGTGAGCTTAGAACTAAGCAAATTCTGTTTACTAAAGTTATCAAACATCAAAAAAAAAAAGGTTTTCAATGGACATCAAAGTACATTTTAGAAAGAAGTGATGGAATATGAAAAAAGAAAAAGTGGAATCTTACTTGTAAGAAACATTCTGCCCTGATGATCGTGTCCAGGAAGTCAGCAAATTCTTTTCCATGTTTATAATTATTCACCTTGTACCAAATACATTCTGGAGTGGAAATATTAAACATGAGCATCTGGTTGTATAATAAAAACTATACAAAACATCATTACCACGACTCCAAAGTAGTGACAAATACATGACAGAAATAAGCAAGCCATTAGCCTCATTCATCGTCGTTAACTCACACTGTAGATTATAGCTTATATGCTGGGGTGGCAGTAATATGTTTCTTAAAAACTTGGGAATGTAGGGCAAAGCTTATGGCGGAAAAAAGGTAAAATTCATGTATGATAGATATGACTAGCACTATGTGACACAGTAATCCAACAGACTATGTAAATTGCATCATATCCTAAAGAAAGAACAAGCAGGGAAGGAGAGTTCAGCTGGAAGTAACTGAAACTTTATACACTTGAAGAGTTAGCAGTGACAAATCTTGGAGTGAAACTACATGGTCACCAGAAACACTATTGCTAGAGAAATAAACTCTATGAATACCAAAATGATCAGTATCAAAATGATCACTGTGACCTGGATGAGACTCCCTCTTCACTGTTCCTGCCTTCAATTCTATAATTAAGATTATTTTAATGACTGATTTGACTCCCATGTATACTAACAGCAAAAAGTAGATATTTTAGTTGACAGACATGAACACTTTGGTCACCAGAAAGAATTACAGTTAATCCTTGAAGAACAATGAGGTCAAAAATCTGTGTATAATTTTTGACTCCCCCCAAACTTAACTACAACTGTTCCTTACAATCCTCAGGGAATTGACTGCCAGACCCTATCTGCTTGATACCAAAATCCAAGGAGGCTGAGGTCCTTTAGAGCTGATGTTCCATATGCATGGGTTCTACATCTGGAGTTGATTGAATCTGTGAACATGGGCTCCATGAATATGGAGGGTCAACTGTACTAATGGAAAAAAGAATCGTGTGTAAGAGGTTACTACCCCTTAAAACTACAAAGGAATCATTCCGGGTCTGAAGGTATGATGATCAGAGAAACAATTACAGCATATAAAGTTCCTCCTCCCTAAAATTGGGCGTCCTTTTAAAAGAAACCCATTTGAAAATTATGTTGCTCCTCATTCATCCAACACAAGTATCAATTTTTACCTTCTTGTAATGTTTGACTCAACCAGTAATAGAACCTCAGTAAGACTGACTCATCTCTGACACAGTTAATATAGTGAAGCAGGAGAGAGTTATTCAGCACTGCACCCATCTGAGAAGGCAACTGCAAAGAGAGAACAATCAATCAACAGTCAATATGAAAAGTAGGTCGGAGCAACAAGGAAATCATCAGATAGGAAACATATAATAAATAACTATATAATAAATAAAAGACTACAAAAACCAAATGGAAAATGCAAATAAAAACATGATCCAGTCACATACCTCTAAGCAATGGATGTTCTTTAAGAGTTGAGGGAAGCTTTTCAGCTGTTCTAGTGGAAATGATGCATTGCTACTGAGATAATCAGAAAGACTCATCTCTTTTTTCCCACATTCTTTACTGCAGCTACTGGAACTTAGCCCTGGTATAACTGAGTGAGAATTCCATTTCTAAAGAATAAAGACAATTCAAAAATCTATCAAAGGGTAAATTTGAAACTACAAACTATAAATGTAAAAGCAGTTGTTAAGGTGTTTCAATGGAGTCTGAATGTGATTTGCATAGAAGCCAGAATAATTACAATGCAGTTAAATATCTAAATCTCCGCCAACATTTGAATGAGTATTGCATAAAAAACAGAAGTCTTCATAGTCATCTCAGATTTTAGATACTTACTCTTTTTATTGGATGGTAATTAGCTGCACCTAGTACCAATTTTAGAGGCTCCAGGGATGGTATTTGGTTCCTTTGCCTCACACCAACTAAAGCTGTCTTCCACAGATTCTCTGAATTCTTAAAATAGATCTACAAATTGGATATAAAGCACAGGAGAGTAGCTACCAATGTCAGTAAAGCCTAAATATCTTTATTAACTGAATTTTGAAATATTTTTACCCATACAAATCTGAGTTTTTTTCTGATTGTTTTGACTCCATTCTATGCTGAATGCAGTCAAAACAAAGTGCTAACCCCTAAAAATAATTTTCCAGGACCAATTCCACGATACTAAATTTAAAAGCAGTATGCTGTAAACATTTTAGTCCAACAGGGCCTCCCTGGTAGCCTAGGGGTTGGGTCTCAGTGCCATCACTGTCAAGACCTGAGTTTGATCCCCGGCCACAGAGGGGAACCACATGTCACAGCAGACCACTCCTGTCTCCCCCACTGCTCTCCTCAAGCAGCGTATTTCAGGAAATCCACCTGTTCTGTCCCCACTCTGTTTCTGGTAAGTCCTCTCCCACTCTCCGCGCCCCCATTCCTGAAACTCCCATCCCCGGAACTCTGGCCTGCACCCCAGTTCTTCCACACAAAAACTAAAACATACACACAGAGACACATTTTAGTACAAGTCTCTAAATTAACTTGATCAAAAGTAACAATTGCAATCTTAATATGACTCATCACTCCTTAGTCCCTTACCTTCTTCCTTATAGGCAAAGATACAGAAATCAAAGTAGGAGCAAAGAACTTATACAGTGTCAACAAAGCCTGGAGATGCGGCTGCATTCCCTGAAATAAAATAAGACTTTTCAATTTCTGATTCTGTGACCAGTAATCATAAAAATGGATTAAAAAATAAATATTAAACGTATGCTCAGGCCCTAATGTTACCATGTGATAATTATAGGAAGATGCTACAGAAAACAAAGGAATGTTAACCATTTAAATCAACTATTATAAAATAACTCTCCCCAAACTGGGGGTCTTCTCTTTTACGACCTTTCCCTCTATTTCACCTTCTCCTTATATTTTTTCTCTTCTTCTCTTCCTATTTTATCTTCTCTGCCCACACCTTAGGGTTTATCAGTCATATCTGCTAGCATAGCTTACTCTCACTGGTAGTATACTGGTAGCATAAAAGTTTACCCATTCTTGATATGGACAGCAAGACAGGAGGATAAAAAGAGAAGCTGTGAAATAGAGTCATAATTCCTGGGAAATTAACTAGGAAATTTAACAACTGGTAAACTTGATATAACTGAAACAATTCTTAACGAAAACATTAATTCATAATCAAAGGCGTCACTGCTTCTGGATACCTGCGTTTGACCATCTTGGCAATTCAGAAGTAAACCACTAAAATGATTTCCAAGGAAGTAACCAAGTTGTTTTGTTATATGACAATTTTGTTGAATCAAATACCATACAAAATGAAGAAGGCAGAAAACAGGCCTTAAATATATAGTACTCCTATCACTTTTATTATAACAAAATCAAAATGATCCAGTTTATCTGTGCTGAAATATCTTCTGATCTCTGTACTTAATTTCAGCAAATATCAGAATGTCTGCTATGAGTTGGGTTTTATTTGATAAAGCAAATATTTAGTAGTGGAGAGACCTCTAGAATTTATTGTCTAGCTAACATTCTTCTTTTTTAAAGGGAAGACTTGCAGTTAAACATACCATATTGAGCATGTTTTTAACTCTGCGTCTCCCCAGAGCCACACTAAAAAGTAAAGGAGCATAAAACACAAAATCAAAGAGAACAAATAAGGAAGGTGTGACACGAAATGCGAGATCTCAACATGATTTTGGAGCCTAGAATGAAGACGTAGTTACTAAATTAGTAGAACAGAGAAAAGAAAACCTAGGAGAATAGGCAGAAAATTAGTTAAGTTACATAGAGTCAAACTTGCCAAACCTTAAGAAAAGATCTAATTCTCCCCTCCTGTTGGGAAGTTTGCTCTCAGCAGGGTACACGTAGCTGAGTAACATATCCCCTCTTCCCACCATTTATGGCAGCCAACAGAAAGACAATTTCTGTTCCATTTCTTTCATGGATGGGGAGTTACAGGGCATGGTGTATGTCTTTGTGGGTATGAGAAATTCATTTATCCAATATATTTTCTTGCATGTGCTCCTCTGCCTATTATGTATTTGTCTACATGTGTATGTGACTTTTCTTCTTAGTTTGATATTGTTGGACTTCACTAAATTCACCAAAATTCAGCTAATCAAAGCAATGCTATGAATCCATCTTTAGAACTGGGTGTGAATTGATAATGAAATAACTCAGTAATGTAGTACATAGGCTGTTAAGAATGAAAGGGTACATTTATTGACAGGGTTTAAAAATTTTAAGCAATCCTCATGTATTAAATCCTTTTTTAAAACTGAACATTCACTGTTATTTCAGTTAATAGAAATCAGTAGTCTTAGTTAAGGTTAGAATTGTCTTATTTTGTTGAAGTATTTTGCTGCAAAATAGAAATGTACAATTCCTATTAATGTGAAATAAATATCAGTTTGGACTAAATATTGTCACTAATATCCTCAGAGAGCTAAGAGAAAATACTATACCCAGATAACCAAAACAGGAAACTACAAAAGAAGAATAATCAATTGTACAAATCAAATCTCCTCACTGGAGAAGTACAAATGTGCATGTGTATTTCTGTTTTTCATTAACTTAAATGCCCTTGGGCAGTCATGTAAACTTCAGTCATTAGGCAGAGGCACCAAAATTTGCTACTGCTTTATACCCAAAGCTTCACAGATTTATTACCTGGCAGGTATAGTGCAAATAGCAACTCAAGTGTTGTAAGGATAAGATAAAAAGGTCAGGGATATCCTGAAGTTTAAGTATCCATAAAAGAATGCTTTCCTATATCACACTCATATACACGCAAAAAGAAATTCATTTTGATGTTCCCTGACCGTTGTCCTCCACCATATAGCTCCAGTCCCCTAAACAGTTTCTGCTATTTGACATCTATGTGTCTTTGTTCATGCTGCTCCCTCTGCCAGGAGTGTCGTCTCTTCCCTCCTAGCTTAGTTCAATCCTATTCATCCCATAAAATTCCTCTCAAGCAACATCATTACTCCTCCTTGATCCCAAGCTCGATTCTCATTTTTTGTTTTGTTGACTGAGCTCCCCAGAAATAAATTCCTTTAAGAAAATGATTCATTCAATTTTATATCCCCAAAGCCTAGCTCAGTACCTGGCACATTGTATACTGTTTTAGTCTTTTTAGTACTCACCATTTTGGCTTGAAGATCAAGCAGTTTTCTCACACGAAATGGTTTAACTAAAAATGGTAACAAAAAGAGAAAGAAATGCCATGCATCTGGTTCACAATAAAAAGAAACCATGTACTCCATATAACTTCCTCTTACAACACATGAAGAATATAAACACCCTGTTCAGTTAAGCCATTAAGCAAGAGGTCCTTAGGTAAAAGCACTAAAAAGCAATTCCCACAAAATCCTGTCAGAGAACTAATGCTAATAGGTAACTTTATAAAAGCCAATACAAATGATAACAACACAGAGTGAATATAAGACAACCAAAATGAAAATACTCACCATTCTCTTTCTTGGTAAGTAAATACAACAAATGGCAGACATAAGGGCACTGTTAAAATAAAAAAATTTGAGAGAGAAATGACAATGTATTTTGAACACATCAGATTTCCTCAAATGTCAATCGTAATGATTAAGAAAAAGGCACCAGGACATCACTGAAAAAGTTTTACAAAGCTTATGTTTTCCACACTACATGGAGGTGATTTAAAAAACAGCTTTCATTGTCAAGCCATTTTGAAGTTTTCTGTAGAGTATTAAAACAAGGCAGACAATCTGAAAAACAGGAAAAGCACTGCCAATCACTCTACCTAACAAAAATCCATATACTCCTGGTAAACCATATTTACTAAGATACAAACTATTATCCAGATTTCTCAAAGGTATCATCATTCTTAGTCATGCAGCCATAGAAACTCAAATCTTTATCTCCTGGCCCTCACCTTAATCCAGTTTAGATACCAGGTCACATAAATTCTTCCTTTACAGTTTACCCTAATGTTGGCTCTTTCATTTTTCATTTCCATGGCTACCCCCTTAGCCTATCACAGTGATTCTCAACATTTTTGGTCTCAGGTCCCTTATACTCTTAAAAATTAGAGGAGCACTTTGAGATTTTGTTTATCTGGATTGTATCAGTCATTGTTAGCAATTAAAACTAAGAAATTTAAATGTTTTAACTCATTAAAAATAAATTTATTACAAGCTAATATAACATTTCATGAAAAATAACTATTTCCCCAACAAAAATAAAGACTAGATGATAGTCTTTCAGTTTCAGTTTATAATTCTAACAATTCTATAAATCTCTTTAATGTTTCTGGCTTAATAGTTTGTTTCTGCATTAAGTTTGTTTGACATGTTGCTTTCATTGATACACATCAAGAAAATTCAGCCTCACACAGATAATTAGTTAAAAATGAAGGTACATTTTTAATAACCCTTTCCAAAAATTTTGTATAGTACTCTTTGGAAGTACACCAAAACTTGATTAGTGGTTGCCCATGAAAGGTTAGCAGCACTGTAGAACCTGAAATGTTATCACGAACACTTTTGGTACTCTGTTCCATTAAAAAATCACTGATAGATCTTGTGCTTTGAGTGGGTCGTTTAGTTTATGCATGATTTTATACCATAATGCCTGGTCATCTGGAAAATACTGTTTCACTAAGTTATACTATGCTTCCAAATATAGACACACTTCATTATATAATTACCAAAAAAAAAAAAAGTATTCACTAATATCACCATCTCCCTCATCAGAAAAGTCTTGGGAAGTGATTGTGTTCACAGTGGCAGTCACAAATTTTCTGAACTTGTAACTTTTGTTTGAAAGTTCAACTTTTATCACTAGCAACAAATACTGCCACTTTGGAATGACAGACTCACTTTGCTCACTTTCATCAAAACATCTATAAAATAGCCAAATCTGAATAACCACAGTTTATATACCAATCTTTCAAGTAAAAAAATGGTATTCCATTAAGAAAAAAGAAGCTAGTTTAGCTCTCTACTCAATCACAGTGCTTCCTTCATGACAACTATTGTATGTGAAGGACTTCAGAAGGGCTGTGTTTTTTTCCATTTCATCACAGGTAATAGCAAACACATGTCTCAAAGGTCAAAATCTGCTAAAATTAGTGAATTGGGTTTTTTTAAAAAAGATTTATTTATTTATGCATGCAGAACTGGGGTCCAGGCCCAAGCAGTGCAGGGGTGGTGAGAGAATTCACCAGAGTCAGAGTGGGGTGAAGAACAGGCAGACTGATGAAGCACACTGCCGAGGGGAGCAGTGGGCACAGGAGAGGTCTGCTGTACCATGTGGGTCACCTCTGGGGCTGGGGATCAAATTTGTACCAAACGGCCAGTTTTGCAGTGCTGTGCTTTAACCCATTGCATCACCAAGGAGTGAATTAGTTTTCACTGCTTCATTTGGGACTTTCTTAAGTAAAACTAACATTTTTGCTTTTTTTGTTGCAGTGAAAAATATAATGACCACTAGTGAAGTTTGGAGCCACTGAGTAGATTTGTACTAAGGTGCCAGCAGTTTTATACACTACTGCTTTAGCACCATCAGTGTAAACGTCAATATACTAACACCCTGATATTGCTGTGAAAGTAATTTTGACCTCTCAGACTTCCTGAAGGGTCTCATGGTGTCCATAAAACCGTATCTGAGCACTGGTAATTTAGGGCTTCATCAGTGTTTTACATGGACGATCACATCAGTATCCTAAGCAGTTTCCCTGACCCTGTCTCTCCCTTCAATTCTCCTGTTTGTACTGCATCAATGAATGAATTCTGTCCCCAAAGGTAAGAGGAACTTGGTTAAATGAATAGTCTATGAACTACGGATGGTTCTTGAAAGTCTTCCAGATGACAGTAGGTCGATTTCATAGTTAATAATGTTTTCAATGGGAATAATTATGCTATTTAATCGAAATCAGTCCACTGGCATCTCATGAAAGGCAATCCTCTCCTTTTCATTAATTCTGATGAGGTTTTTGCAGTGTTACTCAAGAAAATGTAGAGTAAGTGACCCAAAGGATCCTGCTGAAGTGGTTTAAAAGGGAAAAGATGGCAAGCACAGCACTAAATCAGCAGAGACTCCAACATGGAGACAATTCCCTCTGTAATTTCATTTCCTGACAAGATATAAAGCAAAGATGGTACAACGCTTATCTCTGTTAATCTGAGAGACAGGTGCAAGGATGTTATATGACTCTTTATACTTCTCTGTATGTGTAATGTACTTTAAAAGAAATAAGGAGAGACATTGTGTGACACTTTAAAGAACATATGTTGCATCAATACACAAGTACACACCATTTGATCAACTCTTGATGCTGTCCAATTTTTACTTACAAGTGTGTCATCTTGCAATGAAGCAAAAAAGAAGCCATAGAGCAAACTAAGTTGCTCCTTGTGATCTATGAAGTCAAACATTGCAACCAGCCAACGATAAAAAAGTACCTATCAAGAGACAAAATGCTTATCTTTAGAGAAATATAACTGGCATATAAGAGCTTAACTCCCCGACTCCGGGCTGTTTCAGCACAAAGTAGGAAAATAGATTCTCTGAGTAAAAATTTCTGTTTGTTCCAGAGTCCTTGCATCAAGCTGTATTGTTCCCAAACTACAGGCTTTACACAAAAGGCCACTGCCATTATTCTGTAAGTGGCTCTTCCTTGCCAGCCCTTAAGTGGTTCTGAAGGACTTATCATCAAAATGTTTAAAAAGATTACCTTGGTGCTACCAGAACACTTGCCAACACAAAGCCAGGAGACTGCCTTCACCACAGAGTCTTCTGATATTAGCGTTGCTGGAATCATGCACTTTAACATTCGAGTGTTTACAGCAGTCCCTGGAAAGAAGATGAACTCTAAATTAAACTACATGTTAGTATCTCAATTGTTCCCTTACTACCACTCTACTCCTGGTCCTAAAAATCCCACTTTATGTGGAAGGCAATAAAAAACAACAGTCACATTCAATATCTCTTATCATCATTACAACACATAGCTCAAAACCCCTACCTTCTAATACAGACTGTAAAGCAAATTCTTTGCTCTAATATTTCCATATAAAAGGATGGTGAACATATCTGGGAGTTAGATAATGGTGATGGTTGTACAATTCTGAACATGTTTTAAAACTCCGAATTACATGTTTACTCGGTAGGGTATATGAATTATACCTTTAAGACAAATCTTTTACTCAGGAAAAATTCAAGGATTTTTTGTTATTATCTTTTAATGGCACAATAGATCTTCTTTACTTAATGTTAATGACAGACATCTTGCACGAGCTGCTTACATTTAGGAACAAGTATATTTGTATACTCCATCCCTCCCCTCTTCCACCTTCCAGCAAAAAAAAAAAAAAAAAAAAAAAGAAAAAGTGAGGAGGAAAGAAGAATGAAACAGCTCTCCATGGAATTAGCTGACAGTGAGAGCATTCTAGGTTGGCCCAATCTTTCCATTATATTCTCTGACTTCCATGCTGTTCTTTTATATGGCAATCGATGTGATATTGCAAAAGACAGCTCTGTATAAACTCTGTATCGACTACTTATTGAGGATTCAGAATGAAACATGTATCTCATCAATTACTTTTATATTTAATATTGTTTTGTTTACATGATAGCATGGTGATCACAACCAGTCACTGAAAAAACAAGGTCACAAGTAGAATTCTCAGAGCATCCTAATACTGTGCCTTTAACTGCTGTTTTACAAGAGTTACAGTGTGGCAATCACATCCATTCACTATAATCACTATTCTCACTGTCTCTACAAGTGGTATTCTTAGAAACATTTTTCCCCAATCTTCAAATACTGTTTGATATGCATCAGCGCATGGTGGCCACATCCCCTCACTGAAATGACACTTCTTAAATTCTGCAAGTAACAGTTTCAGAAACATCTTGTGTGTCTTTTTTTCACCTGTGAGAATAAAGAGGCCTCTTCACTTATTTTTTTAAATGTATATATTTAAGGTACACAAGATGATGGTTTGATAGATATACATAGTGAAATGATTATTCTAGCCAAGCTAATTAACATAGTATCTCCTTGTATAGTAACCACTTTTTGTGTGTAATAAAAAATGCCTGAAATCAACTCTCAGCACATTTCCAGTGTATTAACAATAGTCCTCATGCCATACATTAGGTATATAGACTTTTTCATTCTACATTACTGCTACAACAATACTCATCAATGACCCTACCCTATGACTCTGTGAAGAAAGGCAGGTAATAAATCACAAGAACAAAATCTCTGCTTTCAACTCTGTAATTTCTTGTTTTTATTTCTCTCTCCCCTCACTCCCACCCCTTAACCCTTTTAAAGTTTAAAAGCGTCTCACCACTAACATTTTACACATGCACCAAATTTAAAGAAGGGATTCAATAGACTATTCTTGCTTCATGAAGTCTTTTCAATTTATTTCTAAGTATTATTACATTGCCATCACACCTGCCCCTGCATATACATTTCAATGTAACAATGAGGTACATGGAAAATTTTAGTAGTAATGGGGATGCCACAGAAATAACTAACGGGGAGAAAAACAATGAAGGAGACCATATTTGACCTCAGAAAATTCCAGCTTAACAGAAAAGTTAGACCAGAAAGCCAGAGTTAATTTTTATAATTGTTGTATACAAGTTTCCAAGTCTGAAGCATGTAATTTGAAAGAGAAAGGCCTTTGCTACAAGCCCTGGGAAATTTTATCAAACCCTTCTAACAACTGATTTCTGAGACATCAAAAAAGAAAAGAGAAATTCCAAAACAGAAAACATCTGTGTAATACATAATTTTTAAGAGGAAAGGGGAGTGATAGAACTGTTCTCAATAAATACTGATTAGCTAAGCAAAGATTGTGGAAAGATTTCAGAAACAAACAATCTGAAACCACTGACAAGAAGTCAATTTTACTAGGTCAAATTGAGCTTTCTATGAAAACACGGATAACTAATAAACATAGAAGTCATGTACTGAATTCAGCTAGTATTGTTTTATTGTTTTAAAACACACAAGCACACGGCAAATATGATGCTTGCATTTACACAATGGAATCCAACATGCAAGGGCCAGGAAACAGTATATAAAACACCCAGTTTTGATGACTGTGTTAATTTTTTTTTTAAGTAGAAAAGCCAGTGGTTGTGTGGTGCAGTGTAAACACTAGAAGTGGAATTAGGAGATCTCTGAATTCCTCAGTTCCAGTGTTGGCATTAAGCAAGTCTCTTTAACCACTCTGAGTCTCAGTTTCCCCACTTTCAAAATGAGGATGCTCAGGGTCTAAAATAACTTCCAAATCGAGGTCTAAAATAACTTCCAAATCTGAATTTAGCTTAACAGTAGATTAAAAGGTTCTTCTCAATACAATAAAGAATACTGGTCAGATGTTATTTCTAAAAACCTTTCCTGTCCACCCACTTCTAAATGAACTTAGAACAAGAACACTTACACAAAAGGAAAAGCATTTTGACTTCTAAGGTCATTGATATTGGGGTGGAAACAGTTTAAACAGTGACTTGTCACAGATAAATGAGCCTAAAGTGCCTTCCAAAAGCCTAATTGAAATCACAACCTATACTGCTTAAGAGAAACACTAAAAATGGCTCCCATATATTTGGTGACTAGAGTCTACACATATTACTTGTAAAGCTATGTGGTTCAATGTATGCACCCAGTTTCAATGTATGCACACAAGTCGTTTGCCTCATAGAGTAGTTGAACACAAGAAAGATCCATTCTATAATCTCTCTAGATTGCCCTTTTGATGAGAAATGTACACATAAAGACCTGCAACGGATTCCAAGGAACAATCTAATTCAAAGTCTGCAAGGCAGAACTAATAGCAAACTGATGACAAATGTATCCCTTGACATACCAAATTTGCCACTAACCGCCACATTTAATAGAATGTCAATTCCTTCTGGAGCTAACCCATTCTTCCAAGCCTCATTTTCCACAGTTTTCAAGTGTTTTTCCAAGGTTTTATCTTTACTCTGTGCAGTTTTAGTGGGACCTGGAAAAAGGAACAACATTTAATAATGGGACCCCTAAAATTATTTCAGTCTTAAGTCCCAACAATTATAATTTAGGATGTTTTAAAGGAATAGTTTCATGTAAAAACTTCCTTCCTAAAAATCATTCAAAGTCTTTAAAGTTCTAAAATATTTAAAAGTAATCACACTTTTATTGAGGAAAATTGAATGCTTTCTTCACGTCACTGCTCTAAACAAGCTGGACTATATGAGCTACTTCAATACCAGAGCAATGGAGGTTTGCTTCTGACAACAGATGGCATTTACCAGAGGGGAAGAGGGCAGGGAGAGGCAAAATAGGTAAAGGAAGTCTGCTGTATATTTTGGTGGTGGTTACAATGTAGTTTGTACAGATATGGAAGTGTAAAGTGTGTATAGTAAAAGTGATACAATGTTCTACACTAATGGTAACCTTGATAAATGAAGATAATACTAGTGCAGTGGTTTCTAAACATTGTTACACACTGGACTCACCTAAGGAGACTTGCATCCCACACCAGGAAAATCAGAATGTCTAAAAATGGATGCTGGCGTCGGTATTTTTATAAGATTCTCAGACAATCCCAGTATGCAGCAGTTTGGAAACCACTCTACCAGGAAAATGCTTTGCTGTTGAGTTACTAGTACCTAGCATACCAGTATGTAGAAAGTGCTTGATAAATGTCTATCAAACAAAAGCATGAATAAGTAAAAACATGCTTTCTTTTGAAAATCCTTAAGAAAAAAGTCTAAAATATCTTTACAGCAATCAATTGTATAAGGCAAATAACCTGTCTTACCTGTCTCAAAGTACCTCATTGCTGTTTGGAGAGCATCTTCTGTTTGACCATCCACATGTTCACAATCTTCCATGGGATTGCTCCGTCTATGTTTCGAAATGCTCTTTGAGTTGTTTAGGTCCTCTTTTACTTTCCAAGCTGAGAGATTAGTCTGAGAACTATTACCACCTCGTGAAGTCCTCTTTTGAGCTTGAGATTTCTTAACTCTCTTTTGAGATGACATTACTGTATATGTTCTATATAGAAACAAGTGTCAAGGTACCATTAAGCAGTCAAGTAGTCGCTTTTTATTCCACAAAGACAAGGACCAGATCTGCCTGTATTCCTAGCATTTAGTACACACTACTAAGCATAGCCAAGCTCTCGCTGAAAGAATTGACACTCAGGCAACAAAATCTATAGGTTAATATTCTCAGAAGTCCTTGACCTAAATAGGAATAGAAAAACATCTCTTCTGAGTTTCCCCAGCTGAAATGACCTTGCAAGGGAGGGGGAAAACAAAACCAGAAATGGTACAGGCAACATAGCAAGTTCTATTAAATGACTATCATATAAGAAAGACCAAAACTAATCCAGAAATTCAATCGTAATTTCTCCATCCACTCCTATTTTTCTTCACTCCACCTTGATTTTGCTTTTAATCTTCTATGATCCCTACTTTGTGTTAAGGTAAAGCTGCATAGTTCAAAAGTGAACTATGGTGGTCAGCCAAGGATTCTCAGGACAGAAACATTCCTGTTTCACTTGTTCAATAAGTAATTACTGGCCATCATTTATATACCAAGCACATTTCTAGTTACCAGAGATAAAATGAACAGCTAAGGTCTCTACTCTCATGAAGGACAGGGACGTGTGGAAATCAACAAACAAGTTAATAATTCTTTGTGGGTGTAATACATGGTGATGTGACAGAATGAGGAGGGCAAAAAGTTACTTTGGCAGAAGTGTTTAAAGAAAAGTCTTTCTGATGTTATCTGTAAACTGAGATTTGAATGCCAAGAAGGAATCTGTCATGTAAAGATAAGGTGGAAGAGTATCGCCTGGCGACTGAAGAACAAGAACCTTAGAGGAAAAGCTTGTGTGTTAGAGCAACAGCAGCAACATCAGTACGTTGGGTTAGGATGAAGGCGGTAGAGGGCAGTGGGAGATGAAATCAGACAGGTAGCAGGAGGACTGTTAGAGAGAGAGGGGCGATACCATCTATGTTTTAAGGCCGTTTTAGTTGCAGTGCTAACAGGAAATTAGGGGTGAAGGTGCAGAAACAGACCAATTGCAAAGGCCTTGGGAAGTCCACAAAGGAGAGATGACTAGACCTCAGGTGCAGCGGTGTTAGAGATGGAAACTGTCTTCTAAGAGCTTTGAGGGTAGACGGGACAAGCCATGATAAAATAATTGGTTATGGGGGGAAAGAAGAGAAGAACGCAGAACGACCTTTAAGTATGGGGCCTTAAGTGGGAAAAATTAAGATGATGGTCGCAATGACACTTGGTCAATCCCACCCTAGAACTGAATGGGCTAGATAGAGCAGGAAAGCAACACGGACGTACAACTAATTGGGAGGTTCTACGTTCAGAGTTGTGGGTCTACGGACGAAAGGCGGGGTGGCGGGCCAGCAGCTTCTGACCCCATTCATGACGCCTCCCAAGGACCCCCTTTCCTAGCCTGCCAGAGCAAGGAGTAAATTTGAGCCCGACAACTGACCTCCGGGGCTGATTCCCCTGCTGGGGAACACCCGTCCGCAGCCACACCTGGCAGAACACCTTCTCAGAAGTCAGACGATGCCGTCTTCCCTCCAAGTCCCCCTTTTCGCGTGGCGTTGAAAAGTACTTCACCTAGAACACTCATCGGTCCCGAAACTACACCGCCGGAACTCCGCTCTCCGAATTCAAAAAAGTGGGCCCCACCCCGCGCATGCGCTTCCGCAGAGACCCAGCTGGTGAGTGGGCGGAGCTGCTCGCTATGCCGAAGCATGATTGGTTGCATCACAGCTCAATGGCGCGAGGAGGCGGGCGCGCGCGCCGTAACTGACGCAGATCGAATTCCGGAGAAAGGCCAGCCCCTCCCGCTCCAGTCTGGACGTGTGGCCAGTGGGCCGTTGCTGCTGGAGCTAACTGATTGGCTAGCTGGTGCTCTGTTCTAATAATGTTCACATTCGTCATTTTGCGTAGAACGGGACAATGAGTGTCTCGATTCCAGAATTTAACAAGGTCAATTGCAGTGATCATTTTGTTTAGATTGACTCCAGATGTCGGGACTTCGTAGGAAAACATGAACCTGCAAACTCACAGTAAAGGCTACTTCCCCCGGCTGGGAAAGAGACTTAGGTTAAAGGGTTTATGACATCTGAAGCTGTCACTTTCCCCTTGATAAGCTAGGAACGGGAGGAAAGAATAGCTGATCTGTCCTTTTTCCGAGGAGGGGCGCGCCTACCTTCCAGGATTTGCTAGAAACAGGTGTCTGTCTTCACGGTGATGTGGCACCTAGTATGTAGCCGACCAAGAGAGCATGTTAAGATTCCTAATCTTGAGTAATTGATGGATCTTAGAGAAATTGATTAAAATAGCAACAAAGGGCTTGAGACCTGAGCTTAGTTCCTAGTTTAATCACTTACTAGAGTAGAAGAAGAAAGATAAATTTAACACTTCCACTGATTTGGGGGACATCAAAAGATATTTTAACAGAATGCTATAGAGGAAATTTTGCAATCTTAGGGAAAGATAAAGAATCAAATATTAAGTTGATGGGTTTGGAAAAGACTAGCAGAAGTGACAATTTACTAAATATTTTTTTTCACAGTACTTTGGGCAAGTCTTAACCAAACATGAGAATTGTGTATGATTGCTGTTCTTCCTACCTAGTAAAACCGACATTTTCTCAAGTCATTTTTCATACTTTTAACCCTTTCATAGGCTAATATGTAAATTTGCAACGGATTTTAAGCCTGCATCCCCCTTCTTTTTTGTGTGGATGATGACTCTGGGGCCCAGGGTGGTGAAATAACTTGCCCAATGTGCTAAGTCTGTGGCAGTGGATTTGAGCCACTTTGTGAGCACACACGTAGTGAGAGACTATGGTTTACCTGTGTGTAATATAACTTCAGTTGTCTTCTGAAATCACTTTTCCCTTGGCATTACCTAAAGAATAATTAATCTGGAAATTTTTATATTGAGATCCTAATTCTATCACTTTCTGTCCTATGTGCTGACATCACGGGAGTATGAGCGAACTTAAGTGACACATGAAGTTAGTAACTGCAATAGTATATTCAGTGATTGCACACCCTCTTAGCTTTCTTCTCCTCCCTCATCGAGTCTCAAGGAACCTGAATTCCTTGATAGGACCCTTTCTTTTCAGATTTTCATTATTTGTCCAGTTTCCTCCAAATTTCAAAAATTTTATTTTGAAAGAATGAGCTAAATAAGACAGAGAAGTATCAATTAACAAGAACAATGACACTGAAGAAAACACAATAAATTATACTCCCCACACACATAATACCCCCACCCCTCTCCCCGTCCCTGGCACAATAATATTAAAACCATCAAAGCACAACTAACAAGGAGAAACAGCAGTATGCAATGAAGAAAGCAAATTCTCATACTGCTCAATCCAACTAACCCATTTCAAGAGTCCTTCCCCCCAGGCTAAACTCTACCCAGCAGGATGATAAAGAGGTGTAAAGGAGAAAACCCTGGGGGTGGGGGTGAGTAACCTGGACCTGCTTACACTAGCAAAGTTCAGTGATGATTCAATATCTGTACTGAATCTGTTTGGCAGAGAAACATGGGATATAGCTCCTCTGTCAAATTTCAGATGACTTAAGAGAACAGCTAGCATTTGAGATTCAGACTTTTAACAAGACTAATCCCTGCTCCCTCAATGGTAACAGTGCAACAGCTGCCAAATCCTGGTTAGCTGCTGAGAGCAGTGCAAGTGAGGCAGCTTTTGACTGAAGAAAATCCGAAAGAGATGCCTGGTAACAAATTTATACTCGTTTCAAACTGTGAGTAAAAGAGCTTAGTAAATTGGGCCTGGACAGTGGCAAGGTGATACCTTTTAATTTAATCTCTTGAATACTTAATTATTGGTTGCATATATCCCTTGCTTTAATTAAACTCAGTATGGAATATTTAAAATTTAAACAACTGTCAAAGTAGAAGCTCATTCATTTTCCAGATAAGTCAGTATCTTAAATTGAAGGAACTTTTTCCTAAGGTGGTTTTCAGCGTAATTTCTTGAAGGATTGTCCCTATCTCATGACAGGATACATGTATCCTGTATTTATAGCAGGGGTAGGATTCTCTTGACAGGTTTATTGTATTCTGCCTTGCTAAAGCCCATCTACAAAAGGAAGGATTAGTTCAAGATCAGAGCTTTCTCCTCCACACGTGCGTATGTGTGTGCATGTGTGCAAGCACACACACAAGAAATACATGTCTCACACGTATGTCATCTCACAGTCACATGCTTGCTGGAGTCCATCTCACAAAAAAACACTTCAATAGTTAGCCGTATACATGTACATGCAGCAAGATGTGAGAGTTGCTCCGGAGTGATTAAAGGTGGTGCACATATCTACGTGGGGAGGTCACTGTAAGGTATAGGAGGACACAAGCCAAAGAGCCATGAACTTGCAGCTTATATTTTTCTCTTTCCCTCAGGATAAATAAATCAAATGAAAAACACACACTGACATCTTCCTGGGTATCATGGAGGCAACTGGCTGGAAGGTCCACTTTTTGCACTTCTGCTTTCCTAGGACAATTTCATTTTGCCCTGAGGAGCCTTCTCGTATAAGGAGGGCTGCTCCTCGGTGTTTCCTGCTTTCCCCAGATTCCCTGGCGAGGGCTTCTTCTCAGAAGACCGGTCTTCCGGTTTTCGGGCAATCAGCAGGCGGCAGGTGAGCAGGATTCCGAACACCAGGGCATGGGCATAGCGTTTGAGAGGATCACCCACCAGCTGGTGAAAGAAGAGCACAGCCAACACCAGCAAGAGGAGGAAGAAGTTGGCCACATCTTTGGGGCGTCCAGGCACAAGGGTCATGACGATGCCACAGGCCACCTCTAGAGCACCGATGCTTTTACGGAGGAGAATGGAATTGATCCCCAGCTTCTTCAGCAGCGGGAGCGCACGAACATAGCTCTTGTAGGCACGTTTCTAGAGTGGAATACCATAAGAAAATCACTGTGTTAATCACGATTTTAACATTGAAGAAAACACAAGGAAGGCCTCCTTCCCCCATTCTTTTCCACACCTACCAAGGGCATCTCGTTTTTTCACTGTGTTCCCTCAGGAAAAGCTGCGTTCGTAGAACAAGAAAAGAGGAAAGCAAGCTGCTGCCAACCCAGTGATAGAAACCTTAGGAACAGTACAACAGATAAGACAATGGGGCTGCATAGTTAAATTTTTTTCCTGATTTTTAATCATAAGCAACATTAATAACTTCAAAGAAAATTCATTGTACCCATAAAAACCAGTAGGGATTGGCCGTCCCTGTTGGCGCAGCGGGTTAAAGCACAGCACTAAGAATCTAAAAAGTCACCTCCTCATGAGTTTGATCCCCACCTGCCCCGGAGATCACCACATGGCATGGCAGACCTCTCCTGACCCAGCCGCTGCTCCCCTCAGCAGTGTGCTTCCTCAGTTGGCCTGTTCTGCTCCCCACTCTGCCTCTGAATCCACTCACCGCCCCTACGCTTCTGGCCTGTATCCTAGTTCTGTATGTACAAATAAAATAAATCTTTAAGAAAAAAAAACAACAGTAAGGATTAGCCACATCCACATTCTCCAAGGCCTGTGTTGTCCAAACCCTAATGTATATGGATAGCAATAAAACCGAGACAAACACGGGCCAGGGTGGCTAAGACTTAATGAATTTCCCTCATTTTTGGAATCTGTGAGAATTCAGAAAAAGAGCTGAACTGGAGTTTATGTTTGTGGAATTTGTACAAACAAAAAAAGAAAAGTGCATGCTAGGCAAATATAGAAATAAAAATATAGGCAGATGTTTAACTCCTCGTATATCTTAAAAAAACAGTGAGACGAAAATCAGTCTGATGTTCAATAAGATAAATTTCCAGGCCTTTCCTTTACAGGACACTATAAGCCTGGTTTAAGTTTATTAATTCTAATTTAACAAGTATTTACTGAGCACCTAATATGAATTTATGAGCTGGAGATATGGAGGTGCATGAGACAGGGTCCAGAAGCTCTTAGTCTAGTGGCGGAAACAGATACATAAAACATTATAAAGCAACATCCTTAGTGGTATATAACAGAAGTCTGTACAAAATCTAATTACAGCTCAAAGGAAGACATCATAGGACAGAGGAGGGTGATCATTGGCTATATTATTACAAAGTAATATACTTACAGTGACATTAGAGTAATAAATAGCTATGTTTTTCACTATTCAGATGGGCCCGATCCACATTTTGGAATAACGTGGTGAGATTTTTATCAAGTGTCTTATAAGGTTGGCCCACTGTTTTGTTTGCATTAGTATCTATTAATACATTCAATATTTATTAGTGCCTCCTTTTGTTAGGCACTATTCTTGGCACTCTGGATACAGATATCCATCATTCCAAGACTGTCTTCCTGAAGCTTTAGTTCATAAGAGGAAGAACAATTATATACATACATACCTGTAATAAGGTGTTATAGCCCAAGTAAAATTATGCAGTGGGTACAGTGGAGATGCAGCAAAAAGAGGTATGGAGATTGAGGAAAAGCTAGAGTGGACAAATAATGAAGGGTAGGTGTCTGTAAGAACAATAAAGGAAGGGCCTGGCAGGCAGAGGTAGCTGGATGAGCGAAGGCCAGAAGCACAAAGTAGACTGATGTGTTGCAAACATTGCCCCAGCTCAGTATAGGTTGAGGGA